GTTGAAAAAGCAGCCGTATGTCTGGTCACTTTTATTGGGTAGTAGACTAAATACGAGTAGGTACATAACTCCATCGATCATTGTGTGTATTGCATACAAAAGAGTTGAACAAACTGGGAAATGTACCCTCCAAACGAGTTGTATTAGTCCACTTTATTTAATATAACGGCCACTGATTTATCAATTCGTTTACAAGATTGTGAAATTTCACAACTTGCAGATGACGGTGCTATATTACTGAAATCAGGTTCATGCATTAAGTTTTTACAGACAAAAATACAACAAGACCATATACATGATATGGTATATGTAAATGGCGCTCATCGTGGTTTTTTTTTAATTTATCTAAGTAAAAACTGTAGCTATGATAGTTACTAGAAGGAGACACGTAAATACAGCTTAGAAATTTTTATATATTGAAAAAAGTTAATAAAAACATTAAGGATTGATTTTTGACAGGAACATAACTTTGGTAAGCATATTCAAAATTTACAAACTAAGTGAATGAAATTACTTACAGGAACGAGATGGGGCGCACGCAGCCATTAACTTAAAAACAAATATTTATCTTTGATTGGATAGAAAATGATTTATATAATAAACCAGTTTCACATAAGCGACTTATCAACCCTGATCTCAAATCATATGAGCGTTTTAGTTTAAATCCCGCGATAAATAGACAATAATAGTGCATTGACGACATATCAACGATATAAGATGAGGCTTAGAAACGGGGAAATGCGAGGCTCTGCCGAGCATTCCCCCGTTTCGGGCCGAATCCTTATATCGTTGATATGTCAAGTCAATACACTATTATTGTCTTTATACTGCAATCTAGAAAAAAACACATTTTCAATTGTTGTTTATTGTGTTATTGTTATTTATTTGATTTTAATATTTGGAAAAAATCCCCCTTTAAAAAGGCCTCATATTTGCCGGAGAAATATACAACACAATGAAATGGACATTACCTGTTGAAACAAATCGATGGTGAACGAATTCGTTTGAGTATGGACTAAAATATCACCAATAAGCATAAAACATAATGACTTATAGGTTTTACAGCTCTTCTATAGAAGCATGCAAAGCAAACCTTTGATCAACTTGCTTGCTATGTTTGCTTGGATGTTTGCAAACAATAGGTAGGCGGAGTTTCAGTCTGTTTTATATATACTGGGATTTGATTGGACAATAAAAATTGACATGCAATGAAGTAAATGTTTATTGTCCAATCAAATTCTATTATATAGTAAACAGACTGAAACAGACTTCCTACCTTTTGTTTACAAACATCCAAACAAACATAGCAAGCAAGTTGATCAAAGGTTTGCTTTGCATGCTGAATTAATTTCTGAATTATAGTCATATTTTTTACCTTTTATTTTTACCTGTAAAATTTTATAAAAGATACTGTATTCTGCTATTAAATCAAGGAAAATGTGCAAAAATAATTTATATTTGATTTAGTTTATAGCAGGAAAATGTATTGAATTTGACAAATAGACAAAAATATTTATTATTTGTACAATTTATCAACAAATAGTTTTAATTCTTGGTATATTCAGGAAAAAAGTAAAAACTAAAGATAAGAATAAATGTCATTTAAATTTCTTTTTATTCATTCAACTTATTTTTTTTTTATAATTTTAATAAAAACACTGTTCTGAAATTTAATATAAAAAAAATCTAATCAATTCTAACAAATAGAATATAAATGCATCTGTTCAGTAGTCGCTTTTTATAGAACCACTACTACACAGAAGGACCCCGCACTACCAATCACCTGGAAATATGGCATAAAATAATTTAGAAGCGACTCCAACATGCCCATCCCAACATCTTCGAAATCATTGAGTTACTAAAGAAGACCCAGGCCCTAACAGAATGTTATATTATCCAGTATGCAGGCGGAGGAGCACACCAACCAAAAAGACGAAAATACAGAAAAATAGACACCAGACTCAAACTGCTGAAAGACAGATACCAAAAAAAGACTCGGGGATTAGTGTAATAGACTACTCTGACGTAGCAACCCATCTTCTCCATTTGAACTGAACAACTTAGTGAAATATTGTAATTTGTGACTTTGTGAATATAATAATTTGTGAATTTTGATTGTATTTATTTTCCCATCATTATACATATAGTGCCCCATATTACCTATTTTACCCTAGTGCTTTATTCATTTCCTTTAGTATCCAAAGCATTTATAAACTTGATTCATATATTATATAAATTATGTTTGCAATAAAGGAGAACTTATATTGGTGTATTTAAATCATTAAAATCAGTAAAAAATTATTGAATTATTAAGATACCTTTATAACTGCACGTCATTGTTTTGTACATGTATGTTAAATGAATCGATTGAAATGATATTAAGTTATTGAGAGAAATTTTTTTTGATTTATTTATTATTTTTCTATACAAATGAAAATGGAATTACAAAATAAAAAATACCTGAATACATAGAATGATAAACTATATACCTAAGTTGGAACAGTGTATACAATTGTATGCTCATTAAACCTTTTGTCATTTTTGTTTTCTTTACTAATAGATAATTGGTATGATTAAATGTGGGCAAACCAGGAGTAAACCGTTTGACACTTGTTGGATAAACGTGAGTTGGATTTTTCAAATGTTGGAAAACCGTGATTTAACCATTCTGATTAGTCCAGTGGCATTTTCATAAATGTGTTTTTAAGTGAACCACGTATAGCAAACATCGAATTCCTTCACAAAATCTTATTACACAAGACGATTGACAATGGAGTTACCCAAACACTAACACCTTTGTATAAAAAAAATTAGAAGCTGGTAGATGGTATAACACCAACAGACAAAACAGAAACTGTACTCTGTGTAGAAAAAATTAAATCGGGGATGAATTTCACTTTATCTTGGAATGTCCATTTTTTTTTACAGGAGAGAAAAATTAACATATAAAAATATAGTTACACATATCTTAAAGTATAAATTATTGATGTCATCAATAAAGAAAGCAAAGCTCATATTAAACTTGGCAAATTTATCAAAATCATAAATATATCTGTGTGTACTCCAGGCTTCATCTAGTGTGAAGCCACCCTTATTATTGTTGATAAAATGTCTTGTACTAATTGTATTTTATTAGATATTGTACATATTGTACATATGTATTTCTCTATGCCGGATACCTTGTCAATAATGATGGTTTATTGAGAATAGATACCAGATTTCACCGGGGGTCTGCTGGTTGACGAAAATTCTATTCACCGACAAAAATAATCTGAAATACCAATAAAACAATGATTCCTATAGAATGAAGTTTATAAGGAAACCATATAAGTAACAAGTTATTACAGTGGCGTATGCCTAGTAAAGCCGACACAGGGGTCATATATATATATATAATATATACAAGTCTAAATTGAAAACAACGTTCAAACCTATGATTGCGTTGGATAAAAACCGCAATTTTTATACGTGTGCATGCAAAAACAAATTTCTTGTTAGAGGGGTCTAAATACAGCACAAACAACATTTTCCAACAGACCAAAAAAGTGAAAAAGTATATTTTAACAAAACGCATTTGACTTACAGGTCGAACAACAAATGTTCTTAAACCCTGCTGACTGCCATTGGCGATTGCCAAATAAACGGATCACAAGGTGTAATAAATGGATCTTAATTAAAAATTTAATACCAAACAGAAAACAATAAACTTGCGGCAAAGATGGTATACCGCAAACAAAGGTGCAAAGAGTTTTGTACACCATATCCGTATTTCGACAATTAATGTCTCTTCAGTGATGTTAGGAATCGAAACAGTATTTGGAAGGCCAAGTAATTTACCTCAATTTAGGATAGACTCTCGAATTTTGAGGAGTCAAATAAGGATGAACGGATCATATAAACCCGAAGGCAAATATAATACAAGCCCAAACGAAAAAATATAAACAAGTCTAAATTGAAAACAACGTTCAAACCTATGATTGCGTTGGATAAAAACCGCAATTTTTATACGTGTGCATGCAAAAACAAATTTCTTGTTAGAGGGGTCTAAATACAGCACAAACAACATTTTCCAACAGACCAAAAAAGTAAAAAAGTATATTTTAACAAAACGCATTTGACTTACAGGTCGAACAACAAATGTTCTTAAACCTGCTGACTGCCATTGGCGATTGCCCAATAAACGGATCACAAGGTGTAATAAATGGATCTTAATTAAAAATAATATATATATGTATATGAACAAGTCTAAATTGAAAACAACGTTCAAACCTATGATTGCGTTGGATAAAAACCGCAATTTTTATACGTGTGCATACAAATCAAATTTCTTGGTAGAGGGGTCTAAATACAGCACAAACAACATTTTCCAAAAGACCAAAAGAGTGAAAAAGTATATTTTAACAAAACGCATTTGACAAGCAGGTCGAGCAACGGATGTTCTTAAACTCATGTAAACAGAATGTATTTTCAGCCTTGTATCACCATCACTGGTGATCCGATGGATAAAATCTGTCGTAGAGTTGTCAGTGGTTCAGACGTACTTATAATATAACTATTTCTGTGACTGCATCCTACATTAATATGTAAAATCCTCTACTGGATAGATAATTCAGCTGATCTGCAATATTCCATCTTCATGCCTTATATATCATGTACTGCGTTACGACGCTAGATAAACATTGACGAGGAAAGGTAACATCCGGCCACCGAAAGCTTAATTTTTGTCGAGCCTAGGTGGTCGAGTGGACTAGCGCGTCGGGCATAGTTCAAGGCGATTTGGTGGCACGATATCTCAGTGGCATGAGTTCGAAGAACAAAAAATTTGCTTCCGCAAATTTACAGATCTAACATTGTTGGGCTGTTATATATATTTATATATAAGTCTAAATTGAAATCAACGTTCAAACCTATGATTGCGGTGGATAAAAACCGCAATTTTTATACGTGTGCATGCAAAACAAATTTCTATACATATATATAAAATTAGAAAGTATACAAACCTGCCGTCTTTTAAAATGTCTCACATTGTGTATAAACAAACAAAATTTCACCAGGTACACACACTATAATTGTATGTAAATGGAGGCTTTGTGGTTATCTTGTTATCTGAATCTATTTATAGAACAACTGTAAATTCTCTACGATAGTCACACCATAGATGTATAAACGTAAATTTCAGTACAAACTGTGCGGTGAAGTACCAGAGCACCTAATAAAATATGACATATCTACCAGTTTAAAAATTTCAAGTTGTATTCTATATCATTTTACAACAAAGCATTTGCTACAAATAAAGAGGATGAAAATAATATAGACTCAACTGCAAAAGAACGCACCGCCTCCATTAGTTTCTTTGAAGTAATTAACTGTTTTTATTGCATATTACTTTTTTTAAAAGTCATTGAAATGAGTTAAAATTTTGACGCAACGTTTTTCAAGTCTTAAACACCAAATTCTGTAAAAATGAGAATTTTCTTAACTAAAAATAAACCACATTTTTCAAGTTTTACCAAAAAGCTAAAAAAAAAAAATGTTGCCAAATTTATGAAAGCTAAAGTCGTGTGTAACTTTTCACCAGAAAGCAACGAAAATAAATTTGGTTTTCAGTTTCATAATCCAGTTCTTGTCTAATGACAAATCTGGAATTGATTTATCTCAGACTTTTGAATTTTTACATTTGAGGTCTTCATTTGTCGCCACTAAATTGAAAATTTCTCTGTACGCTCTGAATTAATTTGAAGGTTAAAATATAATATATTTCTACAAATTTGTAGCAAAAACATGAAATTGTGAAACTAATATGCATATGGTAAGATGGGGTGCGTTATTTGTGTTGTTTAAAAGTATATGTATTAATACAATTGTTATATCAAATTTTGCCTTTGGCAATTTGTAAATTTATCATGAATTGCCAAAGACAAAATTCTAATATAACACAATTAAGGAAACTTAGTTCAAGTTATAGACGAATATCAGTATACAGAAAACAAAAGCTCTATTGAGCTTTTATATCGTCTTATTACAAACAAAACATTTAAAACATGCACGTTTAAAACAAAGCAAACATACTACATACACAAGAGCTACACAAAGCAGATCATTACATTGAAGCATACATATACAATATAAATGACACGAAGAAGTTAAAAATGTTATACTATGCAGAAATATTAAAAATACCGTAAGCAATCAATATTTAATGGGCAGTATGACATTTACATACACAAACACAACACTATGATGTCGTACCACATTTTCACATTGAAATGAAATATTAAATTAATTAATATATATTTATAATCCTGCATATGTAAGGTACAAATAGTCCCTAAATAAATCTACCATCTTTTGAAAGTGATATTGTACCGAGTTCTAAAAAATGTAAAGGTGCTTTAAAACTCACCATGATCATAGATACAAGCTAGGTTTATATAATTTGATACAACAAACGCGCGTTTCGTCTAAAACAGATCCATCAGTGGGACTAGAAAATCAACACACTGTCAGTTGGAAAACCTAATATATTAAAGATGAAATGCATTGAAAACCAAAAATTCTGAAGAGCTTTGACAAATATGGCTAAGATCGTCTATGCCTTGGGGTAAAAACCTTATTATTCCGAATATTTTGAAATTTTAACATTTATAGAGAATGATCATGCGAAGAGTAGTAGCTGACTAATTGTCTAGTAATATTCTCGGGTAGTATTTTCACTAAACCTCGAACTCCCATGACATTTTGTGTGAATTTGAATGGTGCCAACAATTACTCTAACTTATCATACCTCTCTTTTTGAGTACCCCCTCCCTTGATGGTATCAAAAACTAAAACTAATATCATCGAAAGAGCAACACTTCGAGTGTAACAATATACGTAAAAATCAAACAATCAAAATGTACATCAATAAAAACGTCCAATGAAAAAAACTTATAGGAACACCTACTAATTGGTAACAAATCTATATCGAAATGGCAAAAGGATAAAACTGCAGGTGATTTAGAAATTGCCTGATTTTTCATGGTTTCCTCTGACCCCAAAATAAGAAAAAAGAAACTTCGAATATTGTTTTCCTTATTGAATTATGGATGCAATAATTTTCTTTGAATACAATAAACTTTGCCAGGACAAGCTATTTCCAGAAGCTACTTGTTTTGCGCCCGTAAGCTTTTTAAAACAGCAATTATTTGTACAGTGTTTTAGTCAAGCTATTACTTTGCAATTACCATGATGAAATGTTTGCTTAACTGCAACGCAATGGGCGCTAACTATAATAATTTAAACATGTCCGCTAATTGAATGCATTCTTTAATTTTTTTTTTGCTTGTCCCCAAAAACTGTTTGATATCGGATTGATAAAGCAAGCATTTTAGAAAAGCTATTACTTTTACAATTACAAGCTTTTAGAAAAGCTATTATCACGCTGCAATACTACCCACGCTTATTCATATTGAAACGGATATCGTTAATTGAATTTAAGTGTCTGATGCATTTACGTGGGACATTAAACTTTAAACAACTACACTTGTAGATTGCAAAAAACAATTAATTTCCCAATAGGCGACAATGATGGCCTTTTCGAGATACAGACTTTAGAAAGTTGATTTTTTTAACGAAACTTTGCTACAATTAAAGATAAATTATTCGGACGGTATTTTTTGGTCCAAAACATATAGGTTCCCGTGGCTTTTCTTAACGTAAATTGTACTTATCTCCCTTGCCTATCAATTCTGCACTTAAAAACACGTATCACATCCTAGCGTAGAAAAGACATCTCAGATCCGTTAGGGCTGAGGAAAATGTATTATTTTGCCTTTGGTATAATGCAAAGTACACGAAGTCTCTAATAATAAAAAATAACGGGTGCACATATCGACCGATCAGGATTAGCCATACTCTTAATTCTGAATACCATGTTATCTGGCTGCGCCGTTTGATTGTAACCAATAGATCCAAACACAATACCTTGATTGAAATACAATGTAATCCTACACGGCGTTTTAGTAATCCCTGATTAGTTAATAAAGGCCAGACAAAAGTTGATATCTAGTTCTACGGACACCTTTATAATTTATTTCTAATCTTTTGTATATGCGACTTTTCATTGTTTAGAACGTATACAACTTCTTCGACTCCACTTTTTACATATAGATACCACACTTTTGTCATGGTCGTCAACTTTGTGTGAAATTTCACGCGCGTCTGACGTACTTAATTTTAATCCTTTATTCAATGATGAGGTTTTTTTATACGTACGTCTTTAAATACGGGACGTATTATAGTATACCGTTGTTCGTCCATCCGTGTGTCGTCAACACTTCGGACAATAACTAAAAAACGCTTTCACCAATGTTCATGATACTTTGGTGAATTGTTTATTTCTGTTAACGTAAGCTCCCTGTCGATATTTATAAATTTTAGATTTTATGTTTCCGATTTATGGAATTTTAATCATAAAAAATTGGGGATTTTCCAGTTTTCTGACTATAACTCAAAAACGCTTTGAGCAATTTTCATGAAACTTTGGTGAATTGTTTATATATATATATTGACACAATTTCACTTTCGATTTTTCTGACTAACCGTTTTGGACAATAACTCAAAAACGGTTTGGGCAGTCTTCATGAAACTTTTGGCGACTTGATTATATCTATTGAAATAAGCTCTTTTTTTATATAAATTTCTGATATGACAATTCGGATTTTTTTCGTTGAAAAATCTTCGTTTTGTGTCAATGGGTAACACTGCGTGTGTGCATGTCTTTTCCCCCTTTTTTATGGGGGGGGGGGGGGGTCTATTTCAGCAGTGCTTACCGTAATTCTAGCTGATCATATAGATTCATTTGAAGCATAAAGACGAACTAAAAGGTGCTCTCATGGCACAGCTCTTTCTTACATATGTTGAATCGGTTACACGCCATTATTCCGACAGATCATTAGTCCGACGGCCCATTGGACCGACAGCCTATTTGTCCGACAACCCATTAGTCCGACAACCCACTGAATAATCCGACAACCCATTGCTCCGACAGCCCAATTATCCGACACTTAGAAAATAATTATTGCGCGGTATCAGGGTAAAATATGCGTGTCTGTATCATAACGTATATGTTATTACATATGTACTGAAATAATTCCGTATATGGGTCATTATAAAAAAAAAATGCAAATATGTTATTTTGTCTTTCTAAGTCACGGACATGAAAATATATCAAAACAACACTTGTATGTGTTAGATATGAATGTTTTGTGATACACTATATACAGTTTACAGTATGAAATGTTATAAAAACATTCTTAATGTTTTCTGAAACCCTTGGATATAGCCAGAATTAACTGTTATTTTTTTTCTATAGTACCTTTCAGACCTGAAATATTTATCATTATTTATTGCATTTTGTTATAAACAAACATTTTTTAATGATTTGGAAAGTGTATGTTGGTTTCATAATAACAATTTTCAACAAAATGAAGATTCTCATTTTTTAAGTCACTGGTGTAACCAAAAGACAAATTGGTTGGGTAAGAGTTATCTTTCTCAAGATTTCAGCATTTTCAATAGTTTCTCCCTAGCGATGTTACCGGTAAGCATGTAATGCAGACGAAAAAAAAATCTATGTTGGAAATTATTGAAAATTTTTAAAAGTAAGTAAAAGATGTATCGTAAATGAAATTAGTGTACATGGTGTACCCCTAGAAAAATCATTTTCCGACTTTGATTTATGAAAAGATACGGATTGTAGAAACATGCACCAGGAACAACATTTAAAATAGGGGAATGGAGCACTTATTTTGCAACTAAATCTAAAAATACACCTGTACGTCATTGGTGTTACTGTCAATGGTGAGACGGTTTGCCAAACAGTCTTAGTAGTTCGTCTACATTGCCTAATATCAGTCAACACTGAGGTTGTAAGTTCAAACCTTGCTCGAAGTGACATGACTGACTCATTAACTGTTTGAACCCACATCATGGCGACTATAATAATAATGAGTCGATTTACAAAAATAATCGCACAGGCCAACCTTAAAAGTATGTTTGTTTGCAGTTTTCCGACTGTACCTTCAGACTAAAGGGTCGG